GTTTTATTTGACCGGAAAATCTTGCGTGAATAATTCATGCATAAACTTGGCAAACTTGATGTTCCCTTACTTCACAGTAATTCTGTATTGTGTCTGTTGTAATAGCATTTAGAAAATTGAATTATGTTTCTTGTATAAACTGGACTTGATCCTTGAATTTAAAATTGATGACGTACTTTTCAATATCTTATTAGATGGGATTTATTATAAAGTCCTTTAAATATTTTATTTGTAATACATCTGTGTTACTTCAAAAATTATTATGTCTTCACTTTGACGAAGGGAGACATTATGTTCAGTAGTATTTCTTCTTCTGTTTCTCATACAACCATGTCTGGGCCAAAACGGTTTTATGTTTTGACATTAACTTATACTATTTTGCATAAAGTTCTATTACTTTAAGTTTGTGTGTCGCTTATTTCATGAAATTCATGTTCCGATGTGTCACGTACCATTGGATAGGAACTCTGACCTTGTCCTTTGACCTTCAAGGTCCAATAATTGATTTGTTAATGTCTAACCCAAAACCATATATATTATAGCTTGTCATAGCAAGACCTTTTATATGGACATAAGGGTCATCACCTCATCTAGAATTTGGTTGAATATCTAAAACAAATAGTCAGATCCAAACCTCTAAACTTTGTACAGTCGTAATTGTCTTTATAAGACCTTTCTAGTTTACCATAGGTTTCGTCCCTAGGGATAAGCCCCACCAACCTTCATGTAAATGTTCAATATCTTGAAAACTTCATAGTATCCACACCCCTAAACCATTTATACTCTTAATTGTAAGTTAATTATTTATAAGTCTAAATTGAAAACAACGCTCAAACCTATGATTGCTTTGGATAAAAACCGCAATTTTTATACGTGTGCATGCAAAACAATATATATATTCATTCCTAACATCACTGAAGAGACATTAATTGTCGAAATCCGGATATGGTGTACAAATTTTTGCACCTCATGTTTGCGGTAAACCATCTTTTCCGCAAGTTTATTGTTTTCTGTTTGGTATTAAATTCATAATAAAGATTCATTTTGTTACATCTTGTTATCCGTTTATTTGGCAATCGCCAATGGCAGTCAGCAGGGTTTAAGAACATCAGTTGTTCGACCTGCTAGTCAAATGCGTTTTGTTTAAATATACTTTTTCACCTTTTGGTCTTTTAGAAAACGTTGTTTGTGCTGTATTTAGACCCCTCTACCAAGAAATTTGTTTTGCAACGCAAACAGGTTTGAACGTTGTTTTCAATTTAGACTTATATATCTATATATTTATGGCCTTCCATGCATGCAGATGGCATTGATGCATGTAAAGAAGTTTGAAATTCCCGACCAGTAAAATATTCACCTACTGAATGCCTGGTCAAAATGCCTACGCTGGTACTAAAGAACAACAACTCCACTTTTGATGGAGATCATTATCTGCAAGTTATTAGAACTGCTATAATGGATACTAAAATGGCTCCATCATATGCCAACATATTTATGGACAAATTAAAAAAACAACTCCTTAAATCTTCAATCGAAAAACCGCTTTCCCGGTTTAGATTTATAGATGATGTGGATATGAAATGGAATAAAAGTGACGAGGATTTAGATACATTTATCACTCATGCCAACAACATACATCCAAGTATCAAATTTACTCATGAGAAATCTAAATCCAAAATCACCTTCCTCGATATTTCCAGCTCCCTCACAGATGGCATTATATCCACAGACCTATATTCGAAGCCTACTGTTACTCACCAATACCTGTCCCCTAAAAGTTGCCATCCTGCTTATTGTACTAAGAGCATCCCGTACAGTCAGGCACTCAGAGTCAAGCAAATATGTTCCAACACAGAAACAACTAAAAAACGACTAAGTCAACTCGAAACCCGCTTGAAGAGAAGGGGCTACATACACAGAACTATCCAAAAAAGTTTTCAGAAGGCGGAAACTATCCCAAGGAGTAAACTGTTAAAAAAAAAAGATAAAAATAAAAATTAAAAGGACTCCATGTGTTCTTACTTACCAGCCATCTCTCAAAAACAGCTTCGGTGTCATTCGTGAGCATTGGAAAACAGTTGAAATGAATTCCAAACTATCCAAGATTTTTCCCGAGCCTCCTATGAAAGCTTTTAGGCAATGCAATAGTCTGCGAAACCTGTTGGTGCAGGCTGAAGTGTCTAATAATAGAAGTTCTTCTGGAGATTGTCGTTTGATTGATGAAAAACGCTGCAAATGCTGCCTACAGATGCATCACTCATCAACTTTTCACAGTAAGGCAACCGAAAATAACTATAGGATATTTTGCAATGTAACCTGCAAAAGTATGAATGTTATTTACATTATAGAATGTTCGGTTTGTGGCCTCCAATATGTTGGTGAGCCAAAGCAGCCTTTCCACAAACGCCTCAATGGCCATAGGAGTGATATCTCTAAGAAGCCACTTCTCCCAGTTTCTCAGCATTTCAGACAGTCTGTTCACAAACTTGATGACTTTAACCGCATGAAAATCCTGGTGATTGAACAGAACATTCACTGGAGTGACAGCGACAGGTTCGGGAAAGCTTTTGGATAAAGGAACTAAATGTACATCATCCAAACGGCATCAACAAGAAATACTAGTAGTTTTATTTTACACTCATTTTGGGATGTAAATATACACAGTCACGTATATTTGAGTATCGAGTTTTGTTTTATATTATGATGTTCAAGATTTTGGATTAAATCCATAGACCAAAACGTACTGTATTACTGAGCTATTTTACACGTACAAATAGTATTGTTTAAATTATTGACACTGACGAGGCTATTTGTTAAGCCGAAATATTTGTCAACACGATTTGTAACATCATCTTCGTATATTATAGACTTATATTGTGCATATCGTTAGACTTATATATTTTTTTCCATATTTGCGCAGTATCGTCTATTCTAGACGATCCGGTACATATTAAATTTGCTGGTTGGTCCTTTTTATAGACTTGTATATCACTATAATGAAGATGGTAAAAAAGAGCACGGATAAGGGAAAACAATACAACAAATACAATTCATACTTTCAGGCAATCTCTCAGTGTACTTTTAAAATAACAATTAATGTCATTGCCAAAGTGAGGGTTCACTGTAACGTTAAAAGTCGGTTGACATACAACATGTTTTAAGTGTAAAGGAGTTAATTTACATTTTAATTCGTTTTATCCAAGCTTTAATTTGATATGTTGCCGATGTGCTCATAATCATGTGTTACATTGCAGACGGTGGAAATTTTGCTGTTTCCGTTAAGTGATTTAGACCGCCAATGGGGAATAAAACAAATTAAATGTCAATTGTTTTCTTTTTTCTATCTGTAAATCCAATATTTGTGTGCCTTCATAACCTGAAATCTATCAGTTGTTGATACGGGAGTTAAATGGCATTGTCAGTTATGAGTTTGAATATACCTTTGGTGTCTTCCACCACTCTTTTAAGAGACTTCAATGAAGACCACCTAAAACTAAGTAATGTATGAATGAAAAGAATTACTAGAAAATATGATATGGGACGGTATATACGAACCAACACATTTTGCGGAAAATTCGAATTAGATGTAGTGATTATTTATAAAAGAAATGTTATTAATCTCACTGGTCAACCATTGCAGAATGAAAATATATATTATTAAGTTCAAGACTATGGAAAATGACCTCAGACTTTTAGCAAAACTGTTATATATATGAAAATATATGTTTTTTTTCATATTTAAGAAGAGCGAAAGAATTTTCATCGACCTATCGCATTGTTGAGTGCAATAAGTAAAGCTTCATAGTATAATTTTTATAAAATATCTTTTGTCGAAACATCAGTCGCAGTTTACGTTAAAAGGCTCAACTCGTAACCAGCTATTGCACTTGATTCCTGATTTTAGTATTAATTTATCTCTTTAAATGAGGGAAAATATATTAGAATTGTTTTCTTTCATATAAGTTAATCCATCTATTATTGTGTATACTTAGTTTCACCTCTGTAGTCTATAATGAAGTTTTTATCTATTTTTTTATCCTGAGAATAACCTGAACTGTATGATTTTTGTTTGTTTTAAATTAATTATATTGACAGATAATTTATATAATCAAAGAAGTCCTTCTTCGCTTATATAAACATTTAAAAGCACTTAATATGTGTCCAAGAGCAACGTTTTGAATAAGTTTGTTTCTCCTGGAAAGGAACATTCTGAGTATAAAACACATATTCTGGAATAAAATACAGTATTTAATCTAAACGGGAACAATATATAAGTCAGTTCTAAAGACTCTAGGCCATTATTGGTACGTTTTGTACTTTCATTTGGAACAGTCGGCCATATTCTTGGCGGTATTATCGACTCGCTGGTGACGTAATTTTCATCTAAGTAGTTTGCAAATAGTTTGCGGCTTTCATTCTTAGCAGTATTTGACATTAAATCATCTACAAAACTGTCCTAATCTTTTTCCGCTAAATGAACTAGTAAGCACAAATCCTGGTCGTGTATAAGCCACTTTTTCTGTTTCAGTTGAAGAATTGATAATTATTTTTCATTCGAAAATTTGATTAATTCGCGCAAACGTAGTAACTTTTCAATAGGTAAATTTTCTGCAAACGTAATGCGTTCTGTCGCTCAAACGTGGATAATTGTTCCCGCAAACGTAGGACAAATTCGCGAAAATGTAACGCGTCGATTTATTTTCTCTTTGTTCGATTAAGGCCATCCATCTATTGGTTTTTTTCAGATATGAGATGACAATTTCTCCGATCCTTTTTTAATTGTCTTATTTGCATGTTTATGTTTTGAACATCACAAAAAAACTATTGTTTAGACTAAATGAAATCACTTTAATAACCTTTGACATGTTATTTATAAGAAGTCTGATGAACAGTATGATACACACAAAAAAGAAGAAACGCAATCTTTCTATTAATGTTTAGTTTTAATCTAGAACGAATACAAGTAACATGACACTGTGTTATTTATATATGTCAATTAGGTATCTGTTTTGGAGTGACTGGGGAGATATTCCTAAAATAGAGATGTCAGATCTGACTGGAGGAAACAGGAGAATACTCGTTAATGATAATATCGTCCATCCACGTGGTATTACAGTTGATTATGAAGCCAACGCTATTTACTGGGTCGATAGCTCAAAAGACACGGTAGAAACAGTTGAATTTAATGGAAATAATAGAAGAATAGTTCTCTCACTCCCAAATACAAACTTTTTTGGCATCGCGCTTTATGAGGTAAGCAAAAAATAAACATAAAAGTACAGAAAACAAAATGCAAAACTGTACAAAACAGTTTGCCTGAAATCTATAATATAAACGTATGAAACCAATTTGTTAATGTGACAGAGTCGATACGTGTGTCTGACAGTATTTATGCATAACACTCGAGACATATGTATTGCTCAAAGCAAATGACTCCATTAAAAACCAGGAGCTACAGAGACTATTTTCAAATCAAAGTTCTGTCATTTTTTTTTTATATAGAAAGCGAATTTGGTTATTTTCGAGCAAACAAGTACTTCAAAGAAAAAAGAAAAGAAAGAAGAAGAAGACGTCATTCTCGCGCTAAAAACCAACTTAAGACATGCTTTTTCTTTATATTTCTTCAAAAAGCGAATGCTGTTCTTTGGAGATGATTAATTAGGACGGAGTTCATTTCAGTGAAAGTGAAAGTGAGAAAGCTGAAATATTGAAAAATGTGACGACAAAGAAAAAATATCGAAAACAAATCCAAACATTTGGTCGCTTGTAATCCTCTCCTTAGCTTCTCTTTTTATCAATCTTATTAAATAAATTTTGAACAATAACCCCTGCGAAATCTGATTAATTCCTTGTTATTTCTTATAAGGTGTTGATTGCATAAAAATCTCATAAAATTTGAAAAGATAATGAATGGTACCGTTTCTCGCAAACGTTTTACTAGTAAATATCTCAAAAACAAGCGCATTGACATATATTTTTTTTCTGGCTTAATAGGACTTTTTTTATTTTAGCATTTTCATCTTTATTCGAACTCATAATTTCATTTTAGATCGAACCAGCATTATTCGATTTGGATCGAACCACCATTATCCGATTTAGATCGAACCAGCATAATTCGAATTAGATCGAACCAGCATTATTCGATTTGGAGATTTCCTTTGATGAATGATATTTTTTTCATATATTGTCAACATTTTTGTTTTGCTTCATGTAAACTCAACATTTGGAGAACGCAAAATAACATAGTTATAACGTTTTCAAAAAGTGCAGGTCTATCTCGAATACTATAATAGATAATTTATAAAAATAAACCATATTCCTTTTCTTCAATTACAGAATTTTATATTCATGACAGAGCAAGAGGAGGGACATTTAAAAATCTACGACAAAATCACTGGGAAGGGCTATACAAACTACAAATTAGGCTACATACCATTCGCCATAATGATGTATGATGAAGATATGCAGGCGGGTGAACCTTCTTGTAAGTTATCATTACAAGTGATCGTTCTGTGTCTTTAATTGGTGTCAGCAACATTCTTATTCGTACTTAATGTGATTTTTAAAAATGATCTGGTATTAACATTTTCAATGTTGGCGCTTCTATTTTGACGGATTTATTAAAAAAAAAATTTTTTTTTTTATCTATAATGAAAAATCAAGTTAGTAGAAGTATACTTACAAAAGCATCAAAGCTTTCTGTCGTGAAACTGCAATAAAAAATAAAAATATTTAGGACTTTTATATATACATCACATGCTTCAAATTTAATATACTTTTGACATGATATAAGATATTTTTGTTTCTGTTAATACCGTTGGCTTAAATGGTTTACTTCTTTCATGCAATGTTCTGAATTACATTTTAATGTATTTTAAGGAAAGTTAAAGGTACTTTTGAACTCCAAAGCCTGTAAATCATGCCAACTCTGAAAGATTTATAACTATGCAGATGACTGTAATGTAGGACGTTTTCTCAAGTATTTTTTTTATTGTTAATTTATGCAATCAAGAAAAAAATCAAGAAAATGTCTTGCATAAATTTGATATTTTAGGAAGATCAGTATCTAGAATAAGGAAAACGAGAAAACAAAAGCTGACGAACAGATTTAAGCCATAGAAAGCACAAAATTAAAACTTTAAAAAAAAATTTAAATTTGAAATTAAAAAATAAACCTCTTTAAAAAAAAAGATTCCGATCAGAAGCCTGAGATTTTGTATATCATGATTTTAAAGAATCCAAGAGATAATTAACTGAAAACTAAAATCTTTTAAAGCTGCCTACTCGAAGAATATTTTTTTTAATTTTAGTTATCTATTTCTAAATTGTCTGTTATTTTTTTTTGTTTACTGATTTGTCATTTGGATACTCTACAATACGTTGAAATCTTTTAGCGAAGTCTCTGTTATGAAGGCCATTAGAAAAATGTCCTTGAAAATTACCTAATTGAGACTCTTTTTTTTCTGCACGTATTATACTAAATTTATAGACGTCTTGAAATCGATTAAAATTACATTGAAAGGAAAACACTTAACAATTATGCCATTCAAGTGCATATACATTGTTTAACTCAAGCACGATAGTATGTACTTGTAGCACTAATACACACTACACTTTACCACTACAGTGCATAACTTACAATGTACCGGACTCGTTGGAACCTTAGATTAAATAATTAGTCACTGTTTAAATTACCAGTCTTTAACCAATATAATACCACTGTGTATCATCACCACCGGATATGTACCCTTGGCCTGGTTCTCTGTTCATGTCTAAGAAAAACAACAGCTATACGCTGGTATTTGTACAGTAATGTTGTTTTTCTCAGACAATGAACAGAGAACCAGGTCAAGGGTACCGATGATACACAGTGAATACGTTCCTTTGAAAAGGTTCACCAACAATTTCTGAAAACGAGGGTCCTTGAATAAAAACATTGTTTTGAGAATTCTAGTCACATAACCAAATATACTAGCAACTATAATACATTTGTTAACGCCATAACAAGAATAATTGATAGCCGTGTATACTTTCCAACTTCCGGAGGAATGAATACCAACTTCAAATCATTACAAAGAAGTAAGGAGATGTGGTATGATTGCCAATGACATAACTATCCACTGGAGTCCTTATAATGTGGATGTAAGTAACTGCAGGTCACAGTTCAACATTGAGCAAAATACATACTGTACGGTCAGTTACAAAAGGCCCAGACATGACAAAATGTGAAACAATTCAAACGTGAAAACATGACAAAACAACAAACGATCAACAAATAAGACAGGCAGCAACCAACGACAACCACTGAATTCCAGAATATCAGGTTTTCCATACAATCTGAGATGAAGATTTACTTTAAAAAAATACAGTATATTGAGGAGTACATTTAGGCGCAAAAATACTTAAAATGTGTTTTACTCCTTGGTTTAAAAATTAAAAGGTTGGTGAAAAAAAACAGAATTTGATACGGTAAAGTCTAAATAATATAGTATTATTTTTCAACTGTTAAACACCAATTAAGAATGATATTGCTGTTTGGGACATTTTTTTTATACAATATTGCTAGTTTTATATACGTTTGTAACATTTGTCAATACTTTTAGAACCGAAATAACTTCCTTTTTCTGGATCAAATTTAAGGTCCTTTCAGTATCAAATAAGTCTAAGAAAATTCAAAATTCAAAGTTTTATTAGAAAGCGTTGATTTTCACAACCCAAATAGGCCAAAAATAGAGATTTTGTGAAATTTGACAAAATTGTCCGGATTTCAACCAAATTGAGTCCTAGGAAACATAGAGGGTAGGCTAAGACAAACTAAATATTAAGTCAGATATGTAAAATTTTATAACAAACGTTATGTTAAAAGATTTTTTTTGTCAACGCATGCGCTCTATATTTCTTGTCCAAGTAATTAATGTAAATTTACCAGATTTCATTGGATTTTCGTGGAATATCAAAATGAGTGCTGTTTGTAACGCATGAAAAGAACGCGAGTACGTAAATTTAACAAAAAGCCATAATATCTATTAAGTCATTGCATTAGTATGATTCGTTGTGATGTTGGTCAATAAATCCTAATTCGAAATTTTTGCTAGAAAAAAGGGGCCAATTTAGGGCCTTGTCGAACCTACTCCTTTGAATGAAAAATCCACTATGTCAATATAATTGTGAAGTGCTTTTGAGTGAACTTATTTCTATTGTTCATTCTTCTGTACATCAAGTTATTCCACGGATAGAGATAAAAAGGGTGGATTGATTTGACGATTATGTGTAGGTCCCATTTTTGTCATAAAGCTCTTCGCATGTTTCGGTACTCATACACCCTTGGCTGTCAAATATCTAGCAATTTAAAAGTGTCATTTAATTTTTTTATACATATGAATAAGGTATAAATACAGTTTTGAATGCTTTCGCAGATATTTGAATACATGATCATCATATTCAAAATTGAGTGACGATTTGGTCATCATTTTCATCATTTTCCGCAAAAATAAAGTTTACTCCTGTGTGCGATGATATGGTAATTTTTCACTATTCAACATGGTCAGATTTTCTGACTGCATATGCATTTGCTTTGCAAATGAATATTTTTCATAGGATAAATTTACAGTTTTTCCTATTTATTATTTCAAACTTGTGTGTAGTTAATTTTGTTGACCAGTATATAATATAAACTGATGAAAATATATTTTGGCAGTGGGAAAAACATTTCCCTTTTTTGTACTTGCAACTTACCGGTATTACGGGAAAATATTTCTCTTTTTGTCTTTGTAGATGCGTGTACAATATTGGGATGTGAACAAATGTGTGTTGATAAGCCAGCATTTGACGCCGTCTGCTTGTGTGGCGAAGGATATGAGTTAAATGCAGATAAAAAGACATGCACTGGTATGAATATGAATAAAATAGATGCGGGTTATACGTCAAGGAGACAGAAACAAATGCCACAAATATCACTAAGACACCTATAAGTCAAAATACAGTCTTCAACAATAGACAGTAGTCCTTAGAATATAACGAACAAGTCTAAACACATTGTTTATAAATCATACAGAAACTATCAGAGATCTATGATCACAATCATTTTCTAAATAACAAAATAAAAAAAAAAAAAGAACATAAAACAACCACCGATGAGGTTCCTGAATGGAAAGGCACATAAACATGTGGCGAGGTCAAACAATTTAAAAATCTTTCTGAAAATCCCAGCTTCCTTTTCCACGTTGATAAAAGTGTTATTTTTTGTAAAACCCATGTAACATACTGTTGAAATTATGGAGAAAATGGTATACATAACTTTAAGTATTATTTTCATTGACAGATTATAAGAAACTCCTGTGTGTGTTTGTAGAAAACTTTGTTTTGATTCTTTTCAAAACTACAGTATTATTTATTGATACATATGTGACTATACCAACACATTATCATGGTTAGAGACAAAGAGAGCTATAGAAAACCATTACAATGTAACGGAACCCTTGTATAACAAAGAGAGTTATAGAAAACCATTACAATGTAACGGAACCCTTGTTTAACAAAGAGAGTTATAGAAAACCATTACAATGTAACGGAACCCTTGTATAACATAATTTTCAACATAAACATACAAATTTTGTGCTGACAGTAAATGGTTATTTTTTACTAAAAAACTTAACACTTTCTATCATGAAATTTATTTCATCTACTACAGAGGTCCAGGAATTCATACAACCATCACACATCTACGCCATCCGAGATGCTATATGCCAGTATCCAGCAAATTTGGCCGACATGTCTCTCGCAAATATTACTTTAGAAACACAGTGTTTCATCAAGATTGCTAAAGGTTATTTGGCGCTGTCATATGATAGTATAAATGGTTTGCTGTATTACTCGGAGAATGTAACCAGAAGTATTGGAAGAGTACAACTTCGCCGAGGTTCATTCACCGATACAATTATACGGGGCGTTGGTGAAATAAGAGGTAAGAATTTATGGAACTATGGACATGTTTAATTGAGTATACCATACACAATTTACCAAACCGAACTTTCAAATGTTTAGGTTAAATACCAATGCTAAAAATGAAACACTTGTGTAAAAATATGTGACAAATGTGAATGAAATCATTATGACAAAAAGAAACTTTATGTTCCAGTTAACTTCATGGCGGTTTTAAAGACTTTATTGTTAAAATTTTGACTCTTGCATTGTTGTCTACCATTCTTGGCAAAACCTGTTTTATTTATCTCATAGAAATATTTTATCCTTTAGATGCCATCAATGTTTTGTAATAAGCAACTGAAAATAATTACATAGATTTTTTTGTAGAGTTGAATCTTAGGTTTTCAGCTTAACTAGCATTTTTATTTAGGACTTGCTTATGACTGGACCTCGGGAAACTTGTACTGGACAGACAATACTTACAAATGGATCATGGTTTCTACGGCAAACGGTAAATACCAGAAAGTCATAGTAGATGGATTGATATCCCCAATTGGTATTGCAGTACATCCAAATAGAGGGTGAGTGAAAGATCTTCAATGCATAACTATTGAAAAATAACACAAGCTTTCTTCATAATGAAAGGACAGTAAGCGACGTAAATGACTTAATCTTGTTAGTACTAACCCATAACATTGTTTAGCCTCTACCCATGTCATTATTGGAAAGTATAATTGTGTCCTCGTGTTCAATTTTGAGGTCCCAGATTCTCAAAGATTTGAACTTTTAGCGAGAAGACGTTTCTTTGTTTGTCCTACGAAATAGACAGAGGGAGTAAATATTAAGCTGTTTAATAAGTTAGTAGAATTAGCAAGAATTTGATTATATTTTGTATGAAGTAAATTTGAAATGTTAGTTTTTAAAAATTAATCGAAATGAAAAATCGCTTTTAGATTTTTTTAATGGTCCTAAAGGGTTTCAAAATATTAGAAAAAAATGTAAATGTGTATACCTAACTGGTACATCCTACAGGCCTCGTCAGAGGTTATTTTTATGCTCAACCTAGGGGCATTATGTTTTTCGGTCTGTGCGTCCGTTCGACTGTCTGTCCCGCTTCAGGTTAAAGTTTTTGGTCAAGGTAGTTTTTGATGAAGTTGAAGTCCAATCAACTTGAAACTTAGTACACATGTTTCCTATGATATGATCGTTTTAATTTTAATGACAAATTAGAGTTTTGACCCCAATTTCACGGTCCACTGAACATAGAAAATGATGGTGGGAGTGGGGCATCCGTGTACTATGGACACATTCTTGTTTTTTATATATTAGATATTTTTTTACTTGCATGATTTTGTTTTAAAATGACATATATTTTGTAGTATCTGTATGATTCATTTACAAATTGTTTTAATAATGGGTTTTAGTCATAGTGTGATACTGTATTATGATTACTACTGAATTTACAGTCTCAACGTGCTTACTGGATTTTCTTCGTATTATCCTGAAAATCTTAATCCCATAATCCTCTATATTATATGTTTCGTTTTAAAACGACAATAGAATGCACTTTAATATAAATTCTTTTTTACCCACGAAATTTGTAAAATTATTGACATTTTAAAACACAACAATTGACTTAAGTAAACTTGATTAGTTTACATAAATTGTATTTCTTTATTGATCAGTTCTTAATGTCTAGACTAATGTGTTGTTTTATAAAAGGACAATCTAATTGCTTTAAATTGCCTTAAGATTCTTTGAAAACATTACTGAAGGACTTCATCAGTGTTTCTTTTCTACATCATTAACCATCTTAGCAAACTCATAAAAAAGTGCTTAGCTATAAATATCCATGCGAACGGATTTATATAAGACTCGTGTCTTCTTTCCAGATTAAGACATGGGTCATTTGGGATTTACTCAATACTCCAGCCTACGAAAGAAGAATTTACGTTTTGTATTTCCCCGATTTCTTAATTACAGAACTTGACAAATTCAAGTTTTTATTTTTTTTTAAATTGGGTTAGAGAAACCTTTACTAAAATCTGCTCCAAAAAAGGAAATAACTGCAGTGAAATAAGTTTTGATTTGAATCATCTGTACTATGATATTATCCCCGTAATTGTTTATGAAAGCAGTGACCGTTACACTAAAAAATCTTATGATAAAATTAAATCGTCCATATGAGAAATTCTGAAATATTTATGTTATGTGGCATTTTTACTAGAATGCTTTTTGTGAAAAGAATCGCAAAAGGAAATTATTCCAAAAAGAAAGTTCCTTCAGAATTTCTCAGGAAACTTGTGTAACAGCATAAAGTGTGGTGTAGAGTCTGTATATTGCTATTATTCTTTCGCTTTTCTCATCCGAATATAAAAGTTTTCTGATTACTTCAAAATAAAACAACTGAAGACTTGTATGGATTGAGAGATGCACAAGAGCAGTTTTAATAAATGATATTGGCTAGTATGAGATGTTATACAGCATAACATAATAATGAAATTATTTAGTCAAAACGTCATCATAATCGTTGAATCACAAAATTTACAAATACAAATAATGTGATTTAGAAAAAGAACAAACTTATATACAAACTAAGGCATTATAATATGTAACATCTGTATATACAAGCATTAAACCTATTTGTTACATCGACATATATAAAAGGTAAACACCAGCTTATACATAAGCCACTCTAAAAAGAGGACGTGAGAAAATGATTAAAACATTTGACATACAAGCACTGTATATCAGTGTATATAAAGTGCGAATCCAGTTAGTTCATTTTCACTGTTGTATGCGAGTATGTCTATTGTAGAATAAAGGATGATGGGAAAAACTGCGTTTGTTTACTTTTTGAAAATACAAAATAATTGATTTGAATATATGTTTTAACAGAATTTCAATAGAATATAAATTTTTTAATTAATAATAACAGGATTAAAGTCCAAAAAAGTGTAAATTAAGCAGCAGAATCCATAATATTAATTTCTGAATGCGATTCATTTTAACTATAGATGCGATGAATTATCACTGTAAGTGCAATCATTTCTGATGTGGAATTTTTGGAGGTGCGATGAATTTTCATTGTCGTTTTATATGATAATTCGACATGCAACAACTGAAAATAGTTTTTAAATGATTTTGATATTGGTTATAGTTACAATTTAAAATGCAAGCTAGTCGTAGATGCTTACTTGAATATACACGGATATAACCACGTTCATGTCATGAGATGAGTGCGCATGACAAGATGGATGTTTGAATTTTTCCCGCTCGCTATGGAATATGTGAAATATGTGCAATACTGGAGATAGTTGCGTCTTTTTTGAACACCAAACAGTATGTAGTATTTTCAGTGTTTTGGTTTTGGGTCCTAGACCTCCTGTTCCCACAGAAAAGACTCTTTTCATCTTTTTCATCTAATTTTCTATTTACCTGTGATCCCAGTCCGATCTGCCCGTGAGTTTCTCGTAGTTATCTTTGACAACTGATAAGAAAAATAAAAAGTCTACAACAGATATATTGAAAGAGAATAGACATGTACTATATGGAGATGAAGTCGAAGTGGCTACAGTCCTCGAAAATGTTTTAACACTGTTAAATAGAATGGACACAAAGCCTTTATCCATTGAGAAAAATACGGGTAAAAATACAAGTACACTCACTCAAATGAACGATAAACTAAACTCGTTGACAGCGAGAGTTATTACTGCCGAAACTGACATAGTAAATGTGAAAAGTAGAGTTTCAGATCTAGAGGCAAGTTCAGAAGGAACCGGTAATCTGTTTGATGATGTCAAGAGTAAAACTTGTTCTTTAGAAAAAGAGATTGAACAACTTAAGAGAAATAACGGAGATGATAATGATAAACAACAGAGTATGAAAGACGAACTTAGAAAACTAGAAAGTTATAACGAGAAGCTAAAAGGAAAACTACTGGACATACAATGTAGGTCTATGAAATACAATCTTATTTTCACTGGACTTCTAGAGCAAAGGGATGAAAATTGTGAAGAGAAGCTTAGAAAGTTCATACACAACGAAATGAAGATCACAAAACCGTTAGAATTTGGAAACATTCATAGATTTGGTAAAAGTGAGCCAGGGAAATCGAGACCAATTATAGCAAGATTCCTGTATTATTCAGACCTAGATATGGTGAAAAAAGCAGGGAGAAATCTACGTGGTACATATTACGGTGTTAATGAGCAGTTTCCATCAGAAATAGAAGAACAAAGACGTAAACTGTACCCGATAGCGAAAGAGGCGAGAAAACAGAAATTAAAAGTGGTAATGAAAAGAGACAAACTTTACATTAACGACAAACTTGTTAAACCAGATGAAGTCGCAGACGATACCGAGCATAAAGAGCCTCAAAGATCAACCACCAGACCGAATAAACGTTCACGGGTGAACTCTACTCCTGAACGAGAAGGTACGTAGGATAACCATGGAAGACATAAGTGTATTGATGAACCAATCGATAATGATTTGTGTAATGTAAATAAACGTGCAGGAGATAAATCAGTTATAAATATAATTACCCTTAATGTTTGTGGTTTAAAGAGGCGCATACAATACCCTGATTTTTTAGAATTGATAGATGAATTTAGTATTTTGTGTTTTGTAGAAACAAAAACTGACAATTTAGACGTTATTGATTTGCCAGGTTATAAGTTTGTAATGAAAAATAGATCTCATTTTAACAGAGTAAAATCAGGTGGGATTGTATTTGGTTTTAAAGAATCATTATCTGATTACATTTCTGTTGTAGAAACAGACAGCAAATATATTTTATGGTTTAAAATTGACAAACATGTAGTTAAACTACAGCAAGATATTTTGTGTGGTATTGTGTATATTCCGCCTGAAAATTCTGTGTACTGTGTTGGTGATCCGTTTAGTGAAACTGAAAGCGAATTTTTGAATTTTAGTATAACTCATGACAATATATGTCTTTTTGGGGATTTTAATGCTCGAACTGCAGATGAGTCAGATTTTGACGTTGTTAATTTTGAAGAATTTTTCAGGAATGTTAGATATTGAAAATGAGGGTATTTGTATTTTAGATGAGTTAAATATTGATCGATTAAGGAAAAGTATGGATCACAAAAAAAATAATCTTGGTAACTTGCTACTTGAATTTTGTAAGAATAACATTATGCTTATCTTAAATGGAAGAATGTGTGAAGACAAAGGTCTGGGTAGATTTACATGTAAAAACACTAGTGTAGTAGATTACAATATTGCTTCCCCAAGTTTACTTAAACTAGTTCAAAATTTTTCAGTATTAAATTCTAGTGTATTATTTTCGGATATTCATAATCCGCTGTCGTTAAAGATTAATTGTTATGAAAAACAAAATCACGTCAGTCATGAAGATAACATGCCCGAGGAGAAGATTAAGAGATGGGAAAATGAACAATTAGACACCTTTATTGGTAACATTGATAGACTTAAAGTGAATGAAATACTAGCTCAATTAACGGAAATGGTTGAAAATACATGTGAAAACTCAATTATCAATACTGTTGTTGAGGATGTATGTCATTTACTTACAAATGCGGCAAAGTCTACA